CAGTTCATTAACAAGAGCACTGATCAACAATTTCTCAAGTCATGGCTAAGCTGGTGGGATAATCACAGGTCATTTATCTTTCACACCTTTTCACCAAAATCTGGCCCAAAAATGAGTTTAGCAGAAGTTGTTCACGCTGGTCAGGCGAATAGAGAAAATTGGAACCAATCTTTTTTAGATGTAGCCCAAGTAGACATCAAGGTTAGCGTTCTTTTGAAAGCAGAACTTAAGGCGATTGAACAGGGAACTTCAAAAGCTGTAGGGCTTCTTCAAAAGAACCAGATATCATTGTTGAGAATTACAGAAAGCTACACAACTTGGATAGGAAGTAGAAAGCCTTACTGCTGGCCTGGAGGTTGACCCTCAGTCTGGACATTGCCCACCATTACCAAATCTAGAAGAGGTAGAAAGCAGCTGAAAAACTGTAATACACGGAAAAAGCCAACAGCAAGTGGCCACACCAAATAACAATTGGGCCTTCTCCACTGGAAATAGTTCAAGGAATGTCTAAACTGCTGTTGCAAACGCAAAGCATTCAACCATTGTCACAAGCACAAAGTAGTCAACCACTGTCGCAAATACAAATCAGTAAACTTCTTTTCCAAATGCGATGCAGTCACCATTGCTGCAATTGCAAAGCAGTCAGCCGCTGTTGCAAATGCAAACTAGCCAACAAACCGGTCAACTACTACGCATGCCTCAACAACAAATCCAGCCATTCAGTCAAGTGCCCACGCAACCACTGTTATAGCCCTCCACAGCAGCATTCCAAGCACACCAGTGAAGGCCAGTGATGAATTATGCTGCTGTATATCCTTATCTCATACAGACTCACCCTTTGGCTGAAAACTGGCACTCTGGTTGTTCACCCCATAAGTATGAACTTATGGAATTGCCTCAGAATGTGAAAAAATGTTACAGGTGCAGATCTCATTTTGCTTAAAAGTACAGGCAATCTCCACATAACATTATCAGACACCAAGATAGAAGGCTCATAAGGAGAGATGACCATACTGGGAAGTTTCAGTATAGTGCTGACTTCAGTAACATGCATTATCACTCAGAGTTAAGTCATATTCAGTGGAAAAACCCTCTGTTTATTGGGAAAGTCTTTGTTCACTTGACAAACACCAAACTATGGACTTTGGGCAGTGTGCCTTTATCAGCCAAAACAGTTTTGAAGTTATTGTACTCCATTGATCTCAGTGTTTTCTTACCCATTTCAAAGTTATTTTATTAACCATATAGTTTGTTGAAATTGTGTTCGTAATAATTTTAAAGCAAAACACTTTGCATTAAAACAGAGAGCTTGTTGATATTTTTCTGTAATACGTATGAAAACGATGGTAATGTTGACACACAAGGTCATGTCTGCTACAAACATTAGTGAGAAAAACAGCATTGAAAAGATCCCTAGGGAATTTTTCCCCCTTCTTCAGATATTTCAGACGTGTGATCTTTGCTGTTTTATTTATGACTGTTTATGACTGTCAACCACTCATTAATTTTGGATGTGGCCTTAGCGCATTGACCAAGCGACAGTCAGATCAATACAGCGAGGCCAAGATTTGAAATTTTGCCGAAAAGACTGAACATTCCAGTTTTCAGTAGTTTATTTTATGGTGTTATAAAAAATCGGCTTTTTTTCCTCGATAATCCATATTGGCCTGTGGTCACAACCGGAGAATAATGCTCTAACATTTAGCCAATCATAGCTCACATTATATCGGCCACAAGCTCTGACTAAATAAAAATTTTACTTAAAAAAGAAAGATTTGTATCATGGTCATTCTGTTATTTAGCCTACATCAAAGCTAGACTTAATGATGTTGCCTTACAAAATATTTTTCTCTTTTTCTTAGCTGTATAGATTAACACTGGTAAGTGTCGAGTGTTGTCGTCATTTTAAAAAGTGAGGTGTGTGAGACATATCTCGTTAGCAATAACCTCATGAACATCCTCATCATGTGTCATGCCCACCCAAATCATATGAACCCAAAACTAGAAGATAGGTAACTTGAGGCCTTCTTCCTATGTCTCCATTACCGCCCTAGGTCCTCAGACTGGGGGGATGAAAGGACTAGTGACTGGAGACAAGTTCAGCTTGGCCATCTTTGATGTTGTGTTGCTCTACTCATTCGTTGGACATTGTTAAGGACAGTGTATGCTTGTTATTGTAAGTTCAGTGCCTTATGTCTTTTGCCAATTGACTTCAGAATTCATTAAGTCGTGTCTTTGAATACTACACTTTTGCCTTTTTTGCCTTATCTCACTCTCCTATCACACCAGAAGTGACTCAGGAACAAGATATCATTCTCACAACACAAAAGCACTTTTTTGCGGAAATATGTGTGGCTTCGGATGGTATTGCGGCCAGAAATGTCATTCATCAACCAAATTTTCTTGTTCCAACATGGCAGCGGACATTAGCCCAAGTGATGATCACGGTGAAAAGAGCTAGTGCCCCGATACTTGTGTACTACAATTCGGTTTGCTCATTTTATTCTGCTCTTCAACTCATCCACGACCTTGAACTGAACCCTGGGCCTCCCAGCTCATTAGGGAAAAAACTAAAGAGCAGATATGTCACTGTTACTTTTTGTGACGATAGGTTTTCGCCCAAAACTGGAGGACTGAATCTTCGCGGACGGCACAATAACAACTGGGGGAACTAACTCTGTAGAAACGACTTGGCAGCGAGAACGGAAACTCGTCACGATTTCCTGGTACACGGAGATCTGCTTCGAGCGAGCTTATACGGACGTCAAGGATAAGACAATCTTTGGTTCCACAGTACTTTTATTCTAGGTCAGGCCAACAAGCGACATGACCTCTAATATACTCTAGTTTGTAATCATCAAATCTGTACAAGGTACTTGCTTAAGAAGTAACTGGTGCGAAGTGCTATTGTTACACGAATCGCAATATTTGGACAAGGACACAAAGGAGCGGAAAAAAGTCTCTTTGAAGCTAAACAAAAACTACTTAAATATTCCATCTGTTTCTACGACGGAAAGAATCTCAAAATTAAAAAGACGGATGCAATAAACTCTAGGCCATTAAAGTAGGAAACCTAGGTGCGAATTTACAGCTCTGGCATAGAAAACAATACCTATCTTAATTGCAGTAGCGCAGCTTAGGAAATAGAAAACGGAAAAGCAATTAAAGGTTTCTGCTTATTTATACAAGATTGGTTTGGAAACCATTGCATGAAAAGAAATTAGATTTACGCGTATAAACTCAGCTGCTATCTACCATGAAAACCAATGTTTCCAGAAAGACCATTAACACTTATATTTACCTAAAAAAACCCATGTACTAGATGACAAAAGTGCCGACAAGCAGGTGCATAGTAAAAGCGAGTAATCGATAAAAATCCATTCTAAAAGCCACTGTGGTTTTTGTACATTTTTATTTAACTACCAAAGGAAAAAAACCCGAATAACCGAATATTCCAAATGTAAAAGTATATGAATATATTTTTAAGATGTTTATCCCAAAACCCACGAAAACCCTAGATACAATATTTTTGTGATATGTCAACAATTCACTTTTTCTGGTTATAACTAATTTGAATAATCAACAATTTGAATAGAACAACTCGTTCACCATTCTTTACCGCTCAACCGGTCGAGTAAAAGAACGAACAAAATACAGAACTGGGTCTAAACCGATAAATAAATATAGAATTTGTCCTAAAGCTAAAATACATAATTTTTCCCCCTAACATTTTGTTCACCTTAATGTCTGCTCATTGGCTTCACGCAAAAAGTTCCACATGGTGAAGCAAACGATTGTTCATGATAATTATGATATATTTGTCATCTCTGAATCCTGGCTTGACCCTTCCATGACTAATATCGACATCTAAATTCCTGGCCATGTCATTTTCAAGCAGCCCACATAAGTTTGGGAGCAGGAACGTTGTTTACATTATAAACTCATTTAAAGTACAGATCATTGATAACTTTCCAATAACTACAGATGTTAATTCCCAACAACTCTGGCTTAAAGTCCAGTGGAGGAAATCAAAATCTTTTCTACTATGCACCGCTTACAGGCCAGACTCAGTGTTCATGTTTATATTTCAGATGATTTTTACTGCCTCTTTTATGGACTCACCTCTTCTAGGAATGGAAGTTACAGTTACTGGCGACCAAATGCAGATGTTTTCCCACACTCTTCTTGTCCTGGGGGCCGGCTTTGATGGATCTCTATAATTCACTTCATCTCTCGCAGCTTGTTACAAAACCAACAAGGACTACTAATACATCTGTGATGCTGATTGATGTGGCGCTTACAACAAACAAGAGCTCTATTACTAGCTGTGATGTAAATATTTCGGCAGTTGCTGATCATTGCTTAGTGGCAGTCACATTAAATCTCAAAGCTCTAAAGCCTCGGCCTCACTTCTATTGTAGTAGGCTCAATACTCTCAACAAATGTCAAAAACAAATTTCTGACAGGCAGGTCATCCCTCCCAAATGCAACAAACAGTTCCTTTCAAGAGAGGAATTGATAGAACAAATCGCTCAGGAAGATGTGAAAAGAAAAAAGCAGAGGAGAGGAACAGATATTGGCACAACAAATATTACAGTGAAGCCTTGGTAGTCGATGACGAGGACAGTGCAGACCTTGCTTCAATGTTCAGGGCCATAATAAAAGAAAACATTACCAAGGAAATGGAATGCAAATGGGAGCAATAGAAAAAATTATGCAAGCTACAAGCAAGAATGGTAACAAGTGACATCCTAAGTAAGTAGTCTCTCCCCTTCCTCTTTTGATGCATCCTTAAAGGGTGAGGCTTAATTTAAAGTTACAAGAAATTATGCTTCAAGTTATCACGAAAGATTTAGAGGAAAAAACACTTCTCCGTGTGTTAGCCAATTACGTGCATTGAGTACCATGTGCTTCAAGATTCACTTCATTTGTAAGTTGTAGAAGTTGTTTTGACTTGAAGGACTTAAACAATCCTTTTCATCCTCTTCTACCAACACGACTAGACAATGCCTGCCCCTACAACCTGAGGCAGATCAGTGGTACTTTTACAGGAACGTTACCACCTGTAGAACGAAGCACACCAAAAACTTTTTCACTTTTAAGTATTTTTAGCAAATGTGATGCATGTTCTGGTGTGGTGTGTATAATTTGTACGTAACATATACAGAAATGTACATAGTTGATCTTATTAAGTTTTCATTGTATTATAACTCGTTAATTCAGTAAGTTACTGCAAGAGACTAAACGTTTGAACGTGTCCTTTAGTAGCATGTCGTAATGATGTGGGATATTGATCAAATGAAGCCTTTAAGTGCTACTGTGGTTCTTTCTTTATTCACTCCGAGCTTTTAATTAACTGA